GAAGTAAGACAAGGATGTGCCATATTTTGGTCAGCTTTTAATGTCTCAATTTCTCCCAGAATGTCAGCAAAATCATACAACTTTCCTACATCAGTGGAAATTTTTAGAAAGCTATCAAGCTTCCTCCTGACTGCTGTTTCAACCCACTCCGGCGACCCATACCTCTCATCTAGCCTTTTCCATACTCTTCTTAGCCCCAACTCAGGATTGGCTGTGTTGGCAATGCTAATGCTTAACACCTGTTGTTTTGATTGGCCGGTCGTATACTTCATCAACAGGTCGATTTCTTCAGTGGGCAAGAGTTGAAGGTCCTCCAATTTACTCTTGAAACTATGTTTCCAAGAATTATACGTTTCTGGTTTGTTATCGAATGTGGGTAGGCTGGTTTTAATTATGTCCCGTTTGAACATGATTCTGCTTATATGAGAGGCTAACTGCAACTCCACTTTCTTTGAATCCTCCTTATTAGTGTTGACCTGGTAACCACCTGTTTCTTGCTGATCCAGAGGCTGGTCATCCAACGACTCATCATCAGCATCTTGAATCTCTGTCACATAATTTGAAGTGCGGCCGTGTGGATCGTCCACCGGTAACTCCAATAGTGAACCCACTGGGCTAGTACCAATACTATCCTGGTCGTATTCGTGTAGTACAGAAGCTCTGGCTTCGGCTGCGACTAAGGCTTCCTGTACTTGAATATTATCTAGCTCCAGCTCTGCTTTCAGGGCATCCATTCTTGCTTGTGCTCTTTTTAGGGCATATCGGAGGCGGGCTTCCGCTACAGCAGCATCAGCTCTGGCCTCAGCGACAGTGGCAGAGATTGCCGATGAGTGCTTTGATGATCTAGACTTGATTGACATCTTAGTTTATTTACTGTACTGGCCCGACAATAAAAGACAATATTGAAATCCAGTCGTATAACCGTGTTCACTTTTCATTCGTTGAACATTTATTGGTAACTGCAAAAACAACAAGCAATAGATGCTAATAAGACATAACCCAACATTAGTACAAGATGTATAAAATGCAGTACAGTACTAAATATATCAAGGATATATGCATGTACCCTATATTTCTTACATAAACTGTGCTGTCCTCTCAAGACGTATCCAAGATTACTGGCTATATCCAAGATCACTGGCTATCCAGCTGCAAATAATTCAATAATCAAAGTCATGGATGGTACAGAAATTATCTCTAAAATATAATCACATAGCTGGGTGATGCAACAATTTCCAAGAGGATATACAAAATAGCCATTACCCTTTATAAATATTATAAAAACAAAGCTAGGCTAACAAAATCTGAAAGTTTACTGCCGTAGGTCAAAGGTCACATCTTTGCTCACACAGCGTGCGGGCTCCTACATACACGTTCATGCATAGTGTATCAAAAATTAGGCTAGACATGCTCATATAGACTCGTGCCATAATACGCACAAATTTCAATAATCAATACTAAGCTAGAGTACAGCATTATCTCTAGCACATACACATATAGACAATTAGTTTTAATAAAACCTATGCAAGTTTTAAACTAACAATTTAACGATATTTACCTCAGAACATAAGGTACCATAACTACCGTTTTAACTAGTTGAACTGAAAGCGCCCCAAAGAGGGCTCACTTCCAAAAACTCATTAAACAACAATGTTAAAGACATTACAAATAATAATAATAATAATATTAATAATAATAATAATAATAATAATAATAATAATAATAATAATAATAATATACTCAATTGCAAGAACATAAATATTTAGAAGCTACAGAAGGCAGTGTTTCAAGGAAAACACAAAGAATGAACAGAAAATACTGTAAGGAAAGAAAATAAAACTAATTGAGAATCCCTGGCCAATAGTACAAAATAATTTATCAAAAAGACATTGTTTAGGCGAGATAACGCGGAATAAGGACAGGGATGAATGACTAGACTAGGGAGAGCTGCTCGACAAAATGTTTTCATAGTGTGTTATAGGCCTGGTCGTTTTCTATTAGCATATAATACTTCAGCTTGTCATCATCATCATCATCAACATATCTCACCTGTCCTCAGTAACCGCCATTGGTTGGAAATTACCAAACGAATTGTTTTAAAAAATACTTTTAGTCGTATTTAATACCAGACCCATGATACACCGCAGTATTTAAAGATGTATTGTCCCTTGCTAATGTAGAAAATCATAAAAAATAAGTTTGAAATAAACTTGCTCATTTTGCAATAACATACAAATTATTAACTTGTGCATAGAAATTACTGAATTTTAAAAATGTGTATAGAATCTGAGAAATCCATAAAAAGAGAACTGACTCTTGGTGTTCCGCAAGGATCCATACTTGGTCCTTTTTTGTTCCTATTATTTATTAATTTTTCGGTGTGTGAAGATATAGAACTCATTTTTTGCGGAAGATTCCAATATGTTCCTAAACAATATGCATGTGATACGATGAACTGTGAGTTACACCGCCTGTCAGCATGATTTAGAGCAAATAAGCTGACAATCAACACCAAAAAAAGAAAATATATTATATTTAGAAGCCGCAATAGTACAGTTCAGTTTACAAATGTACAATTATCAATTAATAATTCTGTACTCGAAAGAGTAACTCATATAAAATTTCTAGGATCTTGATGAAATTCTATCTTTTCATAACCATATTGATGCCATCGCAAATAAAGTCTCAAAGGTAATAGGAATCTTGAATAAATTGAAATATTTTTTACCCTATTCAATAATGTTACAAATATATAAATCCATATTATTCTTCCCCTACATAACATACGCAATAGTCGTATGGGGCCCCTTCAATTCAACAAAATTAAACAGGCTTCACATTCTCCAAAAGAAAGCACTTCGAATTATATGCTATGCAAAGTTCATTTTCACCATCCTTCATTACCACTAATTTTACAATCTAATACATTAAATATGTTTGATCTCTATGAAAAGCATATGGTAATATTACACTTTCAATTTCATAATAAACAGCTTCCTATTACCTTTAATACATTTTTTCGCACAATTAAAGGTACACTATGGAACCAGAAATAGAAAAACTTTACCACTGTATTAATTAAAACAAAAATGGGACAAAACAGTATCAGTTATAGAGGTGCCAAAATATGGAATGGCTTAGAACACAATATAAACATCTACAAAGTATTAGTTTATTTAAAAGAGAATAAACAAATATAGATAAAACTGGTAATCTTTACTTTACTTTAATTGGTCGTAATTTTACTTTTTTCCCCACTGTATATGTCATATTATCATTACTCTTTTTTAAGAATCTTGATTTATAAATGAATCGTTTTCTATTACTATCTTTTATCTTTTTATTTTGTAGTTTTTATTGTTCTTTCTTTGTAGGGCATCAAAAAAGCTTTCTTGCACTTAATGCCTTTTCAATCAATCTTTGAATTGAGAATTGTAAAAAAAAAGTATACGACAAAGGAAATTGATTGAATAAAAAATTATTGTGCATTATCATCGTGAACAGTGAGAATATTCCTGTACTTAGAAACCAAACATTAAACCAGGGTATGTTTATTATTAGTGATTGTATATTTATGTTAACTATACAATGATTGATTGTACTGCATTTGGCATGTGGATGTATAAGGAAAATGTAGGGAAAAAAACGTATTTAGTGTAAAACAAACTATTAAAATGTAAAATAAAGTTATCTATTGTAGACAATGTAAAAAAAACAACTCTGTTTGATAACATGATTATTTTTGCATTCATTGATATTGGTGATTGATATCTCAGGAAAGGGGATGTGTAGTGATTTGATTAGCTTCATAAATTTGTAAATACAAAGGTCACAAATCAGTGTCGTAGTTTATGTTACGTGTCTGTCCATTACATTTACTATTATCTTTTTATGTATATTTGAGTTACTGCCTTTTCAGCGCACTACCATTTACCCAGTCAGCAACAGGCTGCCTAGGTTTTGTTTTTATACCTTTGTTTCTTTGTTTCTTTGTTTCTTTGTTTCTTTCTTTGTTTCTTTCTTTGTTTCTTTCTTTGTTTCTTTCTTTGTTTCTTTCTTTGTTTCTTTCTTTCTTTCTTTCTTTCTTTGTTTCTTTCTTTGTTTCTTTGTTTCTTTCTTTCTTTCTTTCTTTCTTTCTTTCTTTCTTTCTTTCTTTCTTTCTTTCTTTCTTTCTTTCTTTCTTTCTTTCTTTCTTTCTTTCTTTCTTTCTTTCTTTCTTTCTTTCTTTCTTTCTTTCTTTCTTTCTTTCTTTCTTTCTTTCTTTCTTAATGTTTGCATGCCTGTCTCTTATACACATCTAGATGTGTATAAGAGACAGGCCCATACTACCGCTAAGCACTCTCGTTCCATTACTGAATATTTCTGTTGACATTTATTCAATTTTTTACTTGCATAAGCTACTGGGAACTTTTCCCCTGCAATTTCTTGTAGAAGTACTGCACCTACGCCTGTATCAGATGCATCAGTTCGTAACGTGAATTCTTTATTGAGGTCAGGTAGTTGAAGTACAGGGGATCTCGATAACATACCTTTCAACATCTGAAACGATTGATCCTGAGCTTCATCCCATCTAATTACATTTGGTTCTCCTTTCTTTGTACAGTTTGTTAATGGTGCAGCTATGTCTGCAAACTGGGGTATAAACTTTCTGTAATATCCTGCTAAACCGAGAAAAGATCTTACCTGTGTTTTTGTGATTGGTCTTTCTGCTTGCTCAATAGCTTTTAATTTATCAGGTTTTGGTCGTACTAGACCTTGTCCAATTATGTGTCCTAAAAATTCAACTTCTTCATAACCAATGAAACATTTAGTAGGCCTAGCTGTTAATTTAGCACCTTTTAGTCTATCAAACACTACCTTAATTTTCTGTAGATGATCTTCCCATGTTTTAGTATGAATGAGTATGTCATCTATGTAGTTATGTACGTTAGGTATACCTTTTAAAAGTTTCCTCATTACTCTGCTAAATGTGGCACCTGAGTTTACCAGGCCGAACAGCATCATATTAAACTCGTACAAACCATCATGAGTGACGAAAGCTGTTATAGGTTTAGATTCTTTTGACATTGGAATCTGCCAGTATCCCTTGCTAAGGTCAATTTTGCTGAAATAACGATCTTCAGATAATTGAGAGAATATTTCATCCTGATCAGGTACAGGTTCAGCATCAAATATTGTTATGGAATTAATTTTCCTTATGTCACAACATGCTCTTAAAGAACCATCGGGTTTCTTAACTGCCACTAATGGACATGCATAAGGACTATTACTATGAGATATTATTCCCATCCTAAGCATGCTCTGAACTTCTTTACGAATGTCTTCCCGAAGTGCATGGGGTATTGGATAGGGTTTACTTTTAATTGGTTTAGTGTCAGTCAATTTGATTACATGTTTTCCTAACGTTGTCTTACCTGGGATATCTGTAAGAGTATCCTTATACTGCAGTAGTATTTGCTTTACCTGATGAGTTTTCGTTTTGTTAAGCCGTGGGTCAATTTTAACGTCAGAAATGTGTTCATTCTGAACCATAGGAGGAAGATGTATAAGTTTGTCTGTATGGAAAGATTGAAGTTCATATTTACCTACTTCTTGATGTGGTTTATCTTCAAGAACCGAAGTACATACGATCTCATAAACACCCCGTTTATTTGGGTCCATCATCGATGCTGTAGTCTCTCTTCTATGATATTTCTTCAGTAAGTTTGCATGAAAAGTTTTGGTCCTATGGCCAAAATGTCCTGTGGCCAAAATCTATTTTGTAATTCATTGAACTTACCTTTTCTTTAATAGGAAACGGTCCTTTCCAGTGCATCAATAACTTATTGTTATCCGTGGGTAAAAGAAGGAGGACTTCATCTCCTACTTTCATATCTCTAGTTCGTGCCTTCTTGTTATAATACATCTTGTATTTCTGCTTAGATTTTTGAAGTTCTTCTCGTGCTAACTGACAAGTTTGTTCTAAACGTTCCTGTAAATCTAACACATATTGGTAAACATTCTTGGTTTCACTTACCTCTGTTTCACCAGTCCATAATTCTTTCAGAATTTTCATAGGACCGCGCACTGTGCGTCCATACAATAACTCGAATGGCGAGAAACCTGTACTAGCTTGAGGGGTCTCCCTATATGCAAATAGAAGTGGATCGATATATCGGTCCCAATCCCTAGGTTTTTCTTCGCACATTTTCTTTAGCATAGCCTTCAGTATACCATTGAACTTTTCACAAAGACCATTACACATGGCATGATAAGGGGTTGTAGTCATACTATGAATTGAAAGTAATCTATTTACCTCTTTCATTATACCTGAAATGAATTGAGATCCTTGATCAGTTAAGACTTCCTTTGGAAAACCTAACCTTGAATACATGGATAATAGTTCTTCAGCAACGGCTTCAGCTCCTATTGTAGTCATAGGTGCTGCTTCTGGATATCTTGTAGCATAGTCTACAAGTACTAAGATATAGCGATGGCCTCTTTCAGTTGCTGGCTTAAGGGGTCCGACTATATCTACCGCTACTCTTTGAAATGGTTCATCAATTAAAGGAAAATTACCTAATGGGACTTTCGTTATCCTACCTTTAGGAATGGTTCTTTGACATGTCACATGATTGACAATACCTGGTCACGTCGGCTAACATTCCAGGCCATGTAAAGTTACTCATTACCTTGTCCCTGGTTTTCTTGGATCCCTGGTGACCACCTAGAATAGATTCATGAGCTATCCTTAAGACATGTTCTCTGTAAGCCTTTGGAACTACTACTTGCTTAAATGTATTCCCAAATTCTATCTTTGGAGAATTGAATTCCCTATAGATAATGCCATTGGATTTAACATACCTGTGGGTACTTCCGTTTTTACTTATTTTCTGCTCACCACTTTCAGCCAATTGTCTAACTTTCCTAAGCGTTGGATCGTCAATTTGCTTAAGGCGTAATATATCTGCAGTGACTTCACTAATAGGAGAAACAACCTTTAATTGCTTTAATGGTTTATCTTTTAGTTTGGTTTGACT